TCTTGGCAGGCACGACGCAGGTATTCGTGCGCAGACGAGGAAGCTCTTTCTGTGCAGGCGTGAGGAAGCTCTTGGCAAACACGACGCAGGTAGTCGTGCGCAGACGAGGAAGCTCTTTGCAGACATGACGCAGGTATACGCGCAGGCGACGCAGGTGTGCGCGCAGGCGACGCAGGTGTGCGCGCAGGCGACGCAGGTGTGCGCGCAGGCGACGCAGGTTTGTCCTTGTCGGCCACGGTAAAAACCTATGATGACAGAAAAAAATATAAAAAAAGTATGACAGACGGGTGCTGAAAGCATGTATACCACTAAAAGCATGTATATTGCCGTTGAGCTGCATCCTCAACCAGTGACACGCGCCTAACCTTGACCTAACAGCACAAGGCCTCCACTAACATATTACACGTTAATCCCTGTCCTTCCGTACGGAATATAGGATTTTCGCTTTGTACATAAACACCTTCGTACTCCATCGGTGGATCCTAGCAACAATCCAAGCACTGTGGCATCACTGAGACCCAGGATGACGGGGTCGACAAGTGGACAAAAGGACCTCATCAAGACATCTTCTTAGATCAAACACGGGCCACTTCGGATGCCATTTGGCGGAACAATATTCAATCTGATAACTATTTACATCGCAAATCATGCTGTAACTCTGTCACCGTCTTCCCTTTGACCGAGCTCAGCCACAGTCTAATTAACTCTAGAAAATAAATACGGTGCTACAAGTGCTTCACGTGTATATGACACTGTGAAACTTTTACTACTGTAAGGCTTATAATATATGAAAGTTTATTGCAAATACATGCCCGAGGGCTAATTGCAGTTACAAACAACATAGAAAGAAAATACAGTGGTATGTCTACGTCTAACATTATACTATATTCTACAACATACATGGTACTAGTTTTACTGGGTTTGACTTCTTCTTTTAATTTAGGCAATGGAACACGAATTTACCCACTTCTTCTATAATATGTGGGTTCTTTGATTTTAGTAGTAGAATTGTTTTTTGTGGTAGGGAGTGGTGTACCTTCACATGTTGGACCAGTCCAGTCCCCTACACAGTTACAGTCGCAGGTGTTCTCTCCGTAGTTCGCGGGATTCCCTCCTCTGGTACCGCCATGGTCACACGGCTCACCCGAGCAAGCTGGAATAAACGATAATGAAAATGATACTCACTTAAAAACGTTTAATACTAAAAAGAGTGAAAAATTCTGACAATTAGATACATGAAATTCATGAAATAAAGCAATACACAAATATTTCGCGTGTAAATCGTTTTTGAGAAACATAATACTACTGATGATGGATTTATTTCACAGCAATTATATGAAAGGTATAATGGTAAGTTTTATCAATTAACAATTTCAAAAGACTAAACAACCCTAAAGACTACTAGTATATTGCAAGGTAACACGGTGTACTATCAAATATCTACAATTTGACCTACCTTACATGCATATCTATATAATCATACATAATATGATGAAATATGATTCATACTTACTGCAGACGCCGCACCACTCGTGACAGTTATCCCGTACGGAGGCGTGTTCGTCACACAGAGTCTTGTATGGCCAGCCCGGGCTAGCGCCACAGTACGGAGACAGGTTCTGACAGGAATCTACACCAGAAACAGAAATGAAAAAAGTGAATGGTTATACCCTTTCTTGTTTCATGTTCATGCGGTATATTACACGTATATTACTGAAAACTAATAAACTATATCCGCGCCTTTGGGTTTTCAAGTCATATCTAAAACTATAATTATCTTAAAAGCTGTTCACAAATTTTTGGCAACTTTGAGATTTGTGAGTTTTAAAAAGGATTTTGAAATTAAACAAAAAATGATGGATATGCAAATTTTACTACAAAATAGCTCTGTATTTATTACTTTACACAGCTGGAGTTGCCAGCTTTCACCTCAGTGAGAGATGGAAACGACAAATATTTGAGCTCCGTCTACCTGGTATACATGGTGTAATTATTCACCGCTTACACACTTCAAACTGCCCACACTGCTTTTATGAAATGATAACGATAAACATTATCATTCCTATACTTCATCCTAATATTGAAAAAAGAGCTCGTTTGACTTTCCCCACAGCGTTAACCTAACCACATGGTCAAATTAATCACCCAAGTTCATGATGTGAAATAAGATAAGGTTTGTGGTTTTCAATAAGGGTCGTTGTATATTACAATGTATGATTGTCCCCTTGCCAACATAAGTACACATGTGGTATTCAAATATTGAAGGACCCCCTATCGATAATCCACTTATTTACCAAGACAACGACAAATGTTATCCCAACATGTGTAAGCAACTCGATCAAGGTTACCAAACCTGCCCCGTAACAACAGGCCTCCGTCATATCACAGGAATGCTTTTAAGATCTCTCTGTTGCATTATATTAGGAGATCAGCTAGAATTGCACACTAAGGGAAATTGTTATCAAGGATATGCCGTTGATGATTAGAAAGCATTCAAAATAATGGGAAGTTTGACCATGTGTTTATGTATTTATTTAATATTCAATTAAGGAGATTCCGTCTGGAATTAGTTATTTGGGGCTATTCTAGTATGTACTACAAGCAATAGAGCCAGAATTATTGATGATAACAAATGTATAATGACGTTGAATAGCATCTCGCTGTAGCAAATTGTCTACTTACTCAAATTAAGATTTGTATCAAATCATCATCTTTACCACACAGTAGGCCAAAGTTTTTTCAAAGCATACTATGAAGTTTGATTGCCATATTTTTGATGGAAATAGAACACGTTACACAGCTGGATACTTGAGACAAGGGCACTCTTAGATAACTGTAGAAATCGGTAAATTATCATACAAAATGAACAAAAGATGAAAGATATGTTTGATTGTGTTGATGTTAGTCATGTCCGATGTGTTATAGATTCTAGGTCATAAAGTCAGCACGATACCTTTCTGGGTCTAACAGTCATTCTATAAATATCATAAGTCAATTCTTTTAAAAAATTGCTTATGAATTTAAACTTCCATGGAAAAAACATGTAATTCTAACGACAGAGACATGCAACATTTGCACCATCTAACGTTACATGCTAGTTGTTATGGGTGGGGTTGCTGTTGTACAGTCCAACATCATCATGAAGTCTTAGAAAATACACTGCTAAAGTAGCAAGTTTATCCAACTTTTCTACAGTCTTGTAAACATGACAAACTACACATCATGTTTTACGATGTGGAATAAAGCCTACGTAATTTAAATGCGAATGTTTTGAAGTTAAGACAAACAGACTGTTAAAAGAAATGAGACTGAACTTCAAGAATGCCACATGTAATCTTGAAGAGCGACTGCCAACCACCGTTGTCAATGTTTTGTCTAACGTTGTTGAGATACAGAGAAAAGGTTTGGTAAAGTTGCCACATATATCTACATTAGAGACTGTGACGCGCAAACCAAATGATGTGAAGAAATGTTAACGGCGCCAACGTGCTTTAGTTACCTGTAACGTTAAAATACTAGTAGACTGGGCCCTTGCCAAACATCTTATCTTGCTTACTATACTGTAGACATCTCTAGAATCAATGCGTCGTTTATAGATATACTTGCACTGCGATTTTGTTCGAGGGTGAATGTATATACCAAGTCACAACACCCACATGCGTAGAAAACCTAGCTTCACTATCAAACTGCATTCATGTATGAATTAAGACGTGATCGTTTTCATCCAGTGAACAAACACTTGAAAATAGACGGGGAAACAAAGCTGTTGATTCAGTCTGTTGTACCTTTGAACACGTCTGAAACCTCCGGATACTTTGGAATATCTTGTGCAACGTAGATCACGCGTATTTCTTGATACAGAGTTGGAAATTTAACGATACGTACCTGCCAGTACAGCAGACAGGGCTGACAGGGCAGCTAGGGCCACCCACACCGCTCCGTTCATGGCCGCGCCTGACTGACGAAGTGTTTGAAGTCCCTAATACCACCTGAAGTTATACCTTCCGACGACCGGGTTATCACGGCTTTGCAACTCAATTCTGTCAAGAAAGACAAACACAATCCAACATTTAATGGCAATTGGTTGACTCTTGCTGTCAAGTGTTGGAGGTAAATTACCTCCTTAATCAGCAATTAGAAAGTTTTTGCCAGTGGCCAAGGGTCACCGTTGGCTTGAAAGATTAAGACGATAAATCCGATACTTTTGCTGTGAGTCTTTGCTAAACATCTTAGCTTGGACGTAAGTTATGTGTAAATTGTTGATTAGTTTCCCAAATCCTGTTTTTAGTTGCTGGACAAATCAAAGGGTGGGAAATGAGGGTAAAATTTTCCGTGAGGGTATCGTTGGTCGGATACTGCCGCAGGGTCAGCCCTGCAACAGGAAAACGAGGCAGAGTTTGTCAGCAACGCCGCCATTTTGTTTGCATTCAATGACGTCACCGCTGCACAAACCGACTAATGTTTAGTTGCCGTAGAAACTTCACTAACAAAGTCTTTGAACTGCACGAGGTTTGACATGTGCTTTTGCTGTAAACTTCCCTGTAATAATAAAAAAACAACTAGAAAGATGTATATATATATTTTCCCAGGCAAAATAGAACCTTTTTAGTCAGAAAAATCTGGAAATCTATTTTGTCTGTATCCATAGCATTGTCTGGTGGTTCGATTTGTCTTAATGTCATTTGTTATAATGTGACAGCCATCGTTGCTTTATTGCTGTATGTACTCTATCAAATAGCTATCATGATATGGTGACTATCTATCATTAATTACTACCCAGTGCAACAGTGCAACAAAGGGATTATGCTAAGTGGTGACTTTTGGGGGTGTAACTGGAAATACTCTACATCACCCGAGGAAATATTTCAGTTTCTATGGTATTCTATCAATCGACCTTCACCCCCTGGTGTTCTCTAAACGCACGTGTATTTTTTTCTTCATATTTTGCTGGTTAAAACAGTTGTATTTTCGTCATGAATACGTAAAACCGAGGGAAAAATAAGAGTAAAATACATAATATGACGTCAGAAGTAATGGAGGTAAATAAAGCTAATGACTTAGATGACATAAATTCATAGTTTATTGATGTATGAAGCTATGGAAAAATTGGGTGAAAAAATGGGCGCAATTTAAGACTTTTATTTTATGTCGAATAATTTTTGACAATGCGGTGTCTATATATACATCTTTTATAACGAGGATTTTGATTTCTTGGGAGATTTGCAGACGTAGTATTACATTTAACGATACATATGAAGATGTAGGAAACTATCGATGATCAACGTAGACAATGTAAACGATAGGAATTTCTTGTTACTAGTAGTATGGTTGCTTACTGGTCTGCCAAATCCTCTGACAAAATAAATCTTAATTTAGAAAATACGCCAAGTTTTAGTAAATATCTGGGCAACTCAGATGTCGAAGTTTTATATCTACATTGGTATATATTGTAAATTTTAGACAAATTCAAAGACAACATATTCCCAAACAAAAACCAAAAATCTTTTTTTGTGCTTTGCTAAAAATATTTCTCTGACTTATGATTAATCCATTTCGAATCGTCTCTTCCAAGTGACAGCTTTCGAACGTTGCAAGACGATGTCATCGAAGGGTCACAAAGGTGCCTCATCGAGCCATCTTATAACTAAAGAAACCACTCTGAGTAACCCACAACACGCGTTCAACAAGATACAAACAGTTGAAAATGACAAAAAGAAGAGTTTGAATCTGTCAGCACTTCAATATGCACTTACCTTGGCAGTTGTCAAGAATTCTTTCGTTATGATGTTCAGCTGTCAGTTACAACTTGCTCCAGTCGTTTGTAGTGTCTTTATGGTAAAAGGATACAAATGTTTCAGTGTGTATCGGTAGCCCAGTAGAATGGAGAAGATGGTTAAATGATTGATACGTTAATTGCTTCTTGGGAAAAACACCATTTGGTTAAACCAGACATCACAAGACAGTGTTTCCTTTACGTTGTTTATACTAATTGGTATTTTACGACCATCCACACACAACTACTGTAATACAACCCACACATGCATTTTTGGTTGCTAGGCTTTAATCTTCCGTAATTTGTAGGAGAGTGTCCAACTATTCAACACCAATAACTATTGTGATTTGATGAAATTAGTGCATTGCTGCCACTTTCATCCATTAAGATATTCCTTATTGCCGGAGAAGAGCGTCATACATTTATAGACACATAACGTGGTTTGTGAGTAAAACACGGACATGGGCAACGTTTATCAAAATTTCTAATTTGCTATATCGGTAGCACACATGAAGCAATTGATATACTATAAGTTAAGTTAGTTAAAATCCACCCCGCAACCATTAGCATAGTTGCATATGGCGGTGCCCACCTCCGTCTCTGTAGCCCTGGGCTACACAATTGTGTCACTACAGCAGGGGGTAGTCCCATACTCTGTATGGGAGTTAAACACACACCACTAGTACTGTTGCTGAGTGTTAAGCAGAGAAAGCAGTATGTACCATTTTTAAAGTCTTTGGTATGACTCGGTCGGGAATCGAACTCACGGCCTACCAAGGCGAGCACTCTACCCACTTGGCCATTGCACCGGTCAAATATATATACTATAAGGTGGTAATATAATACGTACGTGGTACAATGGTAAGCATTGAAAGAATCAAGGTAAATAGACTTATGATAAGTAAATAAGAAATTACCAGATGCTTGAATGCAATCAGGATTTAATATAATACACATGCAGCTACAGCCTCAAATTCTGCCTTTATTGATACTAGTAATATTATGAAGTGCCTTGTTTGTCTTGCAACAAAGCAATGGTAGATTTACATTATTCAGTCACCAACGAAGGGTTTTCAATTTAAGCAGACTATCTCCCATGCAAAGACAAGCACGCCACATACCGATGTTACTTTCCGATTGCTAAACCGTTCAAGTATTTGGTATGCTTAGTTTAATACTATTTTTGAATAGACACCCAATCGGGACGATGCAAATTAATTGGATTAATTCCAAACATAAACTTTCAGCTTTGTTTCGATGAGAATAGAGGATATTGCTGTTTTTGTTTGCCCGTGATATCTTGGGCGTTAACAATAATAATCCTGACTATATTTGTGAAGTGATGCCAGGCCATGCCTATTTTGCTAGGAGTATACTACAAAGAGACTGAATGTTTGTTGTCGTTACCTTTGTTTATGTTATGGAAATAAAGGATTCTGCAATTGGTTCGTAACGAATGAGCATATGACACTACGTCGATGAAAGTTAGACAAATGATACATAGACAAAAAGAAAACTTGGTAACTTAAGGTTCTAACAGTGGTTTCAGAGAGCGCCTACAGGTTATATTCATGAAATGAAGCTCATTGCCGTCAGTTTATTTCCATACAAAATCGCAACAATATTGCACTTACACTGTCCATATAGTGCTGCATTGGTCTAGGAGGCATAAAGAACAACAATGCACATACAGTGTTACAACGCTAGAGGGCCTACATAGACATGTGACTCGAGATTATTTCTTGAAGCCCTTGGCATGACTGAAATTCTATGTCTTTTTGTTGTTATTTATTTTCCGTATGCTAGCCTTCGCCGTAGAGTGACAGAAAGATATGAAAAATCAAATGTAATGTTAGTCAAAATCTTATTTTCATTGTCAATTAGATAAGACATTCGAGATACAAGAAATATTTTGAGATCTTCAAACTCTTGTTTTCAATTGTAATCTATACTGACTATACATTGAATGTAAGATTCATACCTACCGTGGCCGACAAGTACAAAATTTTACACCGCAACTTTTGGTGTTTTACACCGCAACTTTTGGTGTTTTACACCGCAACTTTTGGTGTTTTACACTGCAACTTTGTGTGTTTTACACTGCAACTTTTTCTGTGTTTTACACTGCAACTTTTGCTGTGTTTTACACTGCAACTTTTGCTGTGTTTTACACTGCAACTTTTGCTGTGTTTTACACTGCAACTTTTGGTGTTTTACACTGCAACTTTTGCTGTGTTTTATACTGCAACTTTTGCTGTGTGGAAAACTTACACCCCTCCCCTTTTATAATGGACGGTCCCCCTGTCAGGTCAAAAGGTGACAAAGATGGCGGCGGCAAGTCACAAGCTGACGTCTAGGGACATTAAAATGAAGAAAAACGATGTCCATACCCAATAATAATGAACTAACCTGCAGAAAATTTATGTCATTGCTGTTGATGTCTGGAGCTGGATATCTGACGTCCTTGATAAATTTGTTGTGACGCATGGCAGCAAAAAGCAACATAATTTGTAATCACTGGACCTGGTCGAAGCATTTTTAAATTTATCCCGGTCTATAGGCCAAAGCTAGAAAAACCTTTAGAAAAAAACTAACGTCACAACGTAGCCAAGCTTTTCCTCTAAAAAACTTATGCACGAAAAGGATAACTCAGTCGACGTAGTTTGCATGCCATCGTTGTCACCTTTGACCTGACAGGGGGACCGTCCATTATAAAAGGGGAGGGGTGTAAGTTTTCCACACAGCAAAAGTTGCAGTGTAAAACACAGCAAAAGTTGCAGTGTAAAACACAGCAAAAGTTGCAGTGTAAAACACCAAAAAGTTGCAGTGTAAAACACAGCAAAAGTTGCAGTGTAAAACACCAAAAGTTGCGGTGTAAAATACCAAAAGTTGCGGTGTAAAATTTTGTTCTTGTCGGCCACGGTACATACCAGAGCAGTTTGAGTCACATGTCTATGTAGGCCCTCTTGCGTTGTAATGTTACACTGCATGTGCATTTTTTTTCTTTAGGGCTTCGCTACATGACGCGAGTCACACGTCTATGTATGCCATCTAGCGTCATACTGCCACACTGCATGTGTATATTACATGCTTGATGCCGCTTCTGGTGACGTTGATGAATTAAACAATGTGGTGTAATGTTGTTATGATTTCGATATTTCAATCAATTACCTTCCTCATGACGGCAATTGAGTTATCCACTATGATATGCCCAACTATATTTTACATCTTTATTATCCACGAAAACGCTGTCTATGTGGAGTTCGAATCACTAGAACGGCCTCAGATTTCACAAATCTATGTCAGTAATGTCTTCAATATAGTGTCTTTTCATAAGCCTTATTTTGCTCGAAAATCTACGCACTGTTTCAAAACATCTGTTAGTGGCCAATTATCAAACTTATGAAAGCTAATAATGTCTGCCAGAACGATATACGTAATCTGTTATCTCTATTTGTCTCTTTTTGACACTTACTATCTGTGTAAAGACATTAAACATCATTTTTAAAAACCACTGTTATCCGTGTCATAGTAACAGTTTTCTTACTAATTAGCGAGTGTCTTTTGTGTCTTAATGTAATCCCATTACGGTCATTAATTACGAAGGAGTAAAAGATAACAAAGAATACCTTTGTCGTTTGACAAGATCATCACTAAAAGGAGAAAACAGCCTGGTCTTTAGTAGGCTGAAAAGACATTCTACAAGTCTTACATGAAGTAAATAATCCTTTGAAGCTGTATCAAAACCTACACGTCGTTTGTGCAAGCTTAGTTTATCTCTGGAAATGAAGAGGCATACTGTTGGTATCCCCTGGTTGACTCCGTAACGAGCAGAGTAATAAACCTTAGGCGGGAGGATCTTATCAAACACGGGGTTACCTTATCAGTGGACATTCCTCCCGTCATTAACTAAACAGCTATTTCTGATTAGCGCTAACAAAAAGGTGAATGCTTAGGTACATAGTCCGCGCCTTCTGCCCTAATTGATACACAAGCCAGGGCGTTGATAGTAGTCAACCTCCTTTCGTGTCGTGTTTGCACAGGCCACGGTTCTGAATGCAAAGGTCAGCCGCGGGTCCTGGCGACCGTGCGCAGGGCAGTGCGCAGGAGTGTGGGCCGCCATGTTTGCTTAGGTAGTCAGTTGCCATTGTAGTTAAGCGTGTATATTGAATCACGACACATCGCGTTCATTCCTAAGGACAATAGCCTATAAAAAGGAAAAGGCGTGGACGCGAAACTCATACAGGAGAAAGACCTGTATATTTTTCTTTCCTCGAAGGCGAAGTCAGCCCGCGCGCGGTCTTCTTAAGAAAGTTTTCAATCTTGACCTGACCTTTGAAATATCTTACATAAGAACGGCAAAAAGGACCACCATGGCGAGGGTTACGTTTCTCATTTGGTGTCTTTTTGCGGTTTTTCAAGGTAAGTGTTTTTTCTTCTTCTAATGATTCTTATGTTAAACGCTTCCATTTGAAGTCTTTGAAGAGTCTGAAAACAAAGCTAGTGCAGCAACCTTTTTCTTCTATTTGAAAGGATAGTAAGTCTGTTAGCTATTTATGTAAGTTTATTTGTCATAAAAACACGTTCTAGTAAAGAGGTGTGAACTACTTCGTGTGGCAAAAGTTATTGTGATATATTTACCAAAGAATGAGCGGTTTTCAACGCAACATAAAAGCAAGATAAATAGAGGCATTTTAGTGTTTTGAAACTACCCTAAATCTGTCGTAATTACACAAATAACTTTTGTGTATATATCGCTGTAAATGAGTAGTTGACTTGAGGTTTTTAAGAGGTAGCTTTGACAAGAAAACTGTCTGGATTAGAGAGAGAAAACAAACACTTCAGACTACTTCTGGCTGTTGAAGTATCGGCTAGTGTGTAGTCAGTCCGGCAGTTTTAATTAAAGACTGAGCAAATGTCAATAAACCCAAACTTACGCTGATGTAAAAACCAACAGACGTACCCTTTTAAATGTTGAATTGTTTGAATGTAGTTTGGGTAAGACATTTTGCACACAGTTGCAAATATGTGCAGAAAAACCACTAGTTGATTCAAAGTCAGTGACATTGTTTAAAGGTATTCCAACATCATTGCAAAATGATTTTACACTTTGACAAGGTCTCGGACAATAATTCGTGTATTTTCACCTGTTTTTGCTGACGTTTGTCCCACGCCTATTTAAGTTTAGAGTTCTTGTATCCTTGTTGAGGGGCTGGGATCAGAATTTAATGGCGTGTTTGTCCGTGTTGTTGGAAGGTTTGGACAAAGCACCATTATGAGACGGGTGAACTCTTGACCTGGTGACGATAGTTTCCACCGATCAAAGTTTTCACAAGTTTGCGGTGTCGGAGAATTGAAGGGACAGGGTTTTGTCAACGTTGGTATTAACTATTAAATCGTCATCGCGTAATAATGTCACCTTGTACTAGAAAAATGTATCATAGCATTTAGCAAGTACCTCTTTAGCAAATATGATTATGCCACCACAATAGGTCATATGAGTCTAGCTAATCGCCCGTTTTCTGTTTTAAATGAATGAATGAATGACGACCTCTGTTGCACATTTTGCCACACTGCGCTAAGTACAGGTCAAACCAAAACACGATGAACAGATACAATCAGCAGATACAAAATAAAACTAACTATCATCAAGCTTTTCAGTTATATAACAGGAATAAAGGTACAGATATGTTTTTCAATGGAGGGTTTGTCTCGTTGCATTAGGAATATGAACTTTTCTCCAGTGCTCAAGTGTATGAAGCAGGGAAATAGCAAACCTATACAGTTCACTTCTCTCTTCAACATACAATCTAAAGTTTAACGTTTGCGTGCGAGCTGTTTTAAGACCTTATGCATTAACGTAAAGACGTGACAATTTGCACATGTATACGACAGTTTTACATTACTGTTGTCAACGATGGTTAACATTCAGAATCTGTGCTAATTTACGACTGAAAGAGATTTTAACAAAGGTTGTTTTGCTTCAAACACCATTAAATGTCCGTTGGAATTTCGTTATTACAGTGCTGTTTCTGTCTTAACCCAATTAAAGAACATATCATACCTTCAATACAAAAACATAAAGGATTTATTACTATATTAGAATAACAATTAAAATCCGCTGCACAAAAAGGAGACGTTTGAAAATCTTGTTTTGCTTGAAATGCTACTCAATGTCCGGTTTAAATCCTCTTACTACAATGCAACTGGATTAAGCCAGTTAAATAACACACTATGTTTCCAATAACAGAAGGATCAAGAGTTTAAATTCCCCTGTTCCTACTAAACGGGGGTCTTAGACCAAGTAAAAGAACGTATCAAGTTTTCAATAACAAGAAATATAAGGGAGTTAGCTCTATATTGGAATCGCAATATCGTGGTGAAGGGAGATCCGCGTTCGTTCAATACTGCATTCCTTCAAAGGTATTTTGCTGACGTCTTTGCGTCACTGCGGGTGGTGTTTGTTTGTGTCCAAAGCGCGCAGGGATATTGAATCACGCCATGTCTCAGACCGGGCTTATTGCAAAATGTGTCGTAACCACGAGTTTCCGACTGGCCGGGGTGTAATGCGGTCTCTTTGTTGACACGTTGGCATGGCAACATTGACCAGACCTGTTTTGGAACCCGTGTGTGCTACTCATCGTGTAAAACACACGAAATGACTAAACATAAAAATCTATCCACCATTTTAAAACTTCTTTTCGCTGATCATATTTTTCTAGAAATTGCTCTCGTACATATCTGAATGTTTAGAATGACCAATTTCATCGTGAGTTGGTATGATGTATGTAAAGCTTGTTATTTGCCAACTTCTATGGAACAAACATAAATGTCAGTGTATAAACTGCTCTCTGTCCAGATACACAATGGAATTGACAGGTATGTTACGCCTAGACCTGCACTAGCAAAATGGTGGACCCTGACTAGACCTTGGTGGGTAACGTAATATAACCTAAACGCATGACGTTTTTGACAGTCATGGCAACACAAAGGAAAACGACTGGTGCAAAATTATGTCGTATAATCACAGACAGTATACCTACCAGAAGTACTTTTAACTTCACACAAAGTCAAAGTCCTTCCCACAATATATTTACTGTATGGGGCGGCGACTACCCCCTTTCTATAGCCCTTACATGGGCCTCGCAACTAATCGTATCAAAATCTAAATAATGAAATAGCTTAGTGTGAACAGTGAACACGAATGAAGGGATGACAAATTGAACTTTGCTTAGCACACAATGTCATCCACACCACTTGGCAATACAATTGAACATCAATTCTCTATTCTATACCCTTCTCCGCAACCCTTGACAATGAAAAATTGCCAAATCCCGTCCACGCTGTAAATGTGTTGTTATTCCAATATAAAATATATCTGCAAACTTCGCTATCACCACTCAGGTTAAGTGGGTGAGCTAATCGCCCATTTATAGAGCTGGCCGAGACGAGCTTATCTTTCTTTCCTGACCTAGGGGGGCAATTTGTACCTCATGACGTAAAGAACCTTATCAACGAAGGTATACCTCGCCCCAACAGTTGAAAACAAGGAGAACTTGTCAACATTAAAGATATATTGTGAGAGCAATTAAAGTTGAAGGCCTTCTACATTCGTGGTGAATATAATATGCGGTAGACCCATACACGATTACAAGAAAAAGTTGCGAGATGCATATGGTATAATGCTGACCACGTATTTTAAACATAGAATAAATGAAAATGACATTGTGTATAGAAAACACTCTGACTGTGGTAAAATCCGTATAAATGCCATCTAATTGATATAATTTTAATGGTACATTGTAGTAAGGAGGCCAGGCTATTGAACCTTGGACTTAAAACCTTACCCTCTTGTAAATCACTAAAACATTACTGTTTGAGTCGTCATGCATATTCATTATTTTCCTTTCGCACACATTTGAAAACTTTGTCTTTGGATGTCTATCAAACACAGTTGCCTCCTATGTGTACAATTAAACGGTGCCCTCTTTCCCATCTAAACTTATCCCACGTCGGCTCGACCACAGTACAGAGTAGTCGGCTACGACATTTGAGGGATGGGGCAGAAGAAACACGCATAGACCGTTTCTTTTTGTGCACAATTATGACACCGAGTAGATTCCTCGTGAGTTTATAGTGTGTCTCCATTTTTATCGTTTCTTTCTCCAGCCGGTAGCAGTGCTGATTCGGGTTGCGGTGGCCCCCGTGAGCTCACCGCGGGAAGCGGGACGTTTTCCTCGGCCAACTACCCTTCCCCCTACCCGGTCAACCTGACCTGCGAGTGGCTCATCTCAGCCGGGCCGGGCAAGGTCACCATGCTGCAGTTCACCACCATGGACGTAGAGGGCGGTTTTCGTCCAAACGAATGTCCCTACGACTCCGTGAAGGTGTACGATGGCGGGGATGCCAGCGGCCCGCCCCGGGGGCAGTACTGCGCGACCAACATACCGCCGCCGGATCTGGTGTTCTTCGGCGACGCTTTTGTCGTGTTTACGTCGGATGAAAGGAACACCAGGCCTGGGTTCTCGGCCTGTTATTCTACTTCAACACCGCCAGCACTGCCGACACCATGTGGCAATGGTAACTTGAAATTAAATATGCAGTTTCAGAATACAACTTTTTTAACGATTTAATTATTACAGTCAACACTTGTGATATTGGTGAATGTGAATTCATTTTTATCCCACAGGCCGGCATGCTATTACATTTCGATTCTCTGTATCCAGGTATCCACTTCAGTTAATGTCTAAGCAGATTCTCTTGCTAATTTGATATGTGTTGCAACCACCCAAAGATATGTTCATTATGGAAGATGATGACTGGAAATCGTGACGCTTTATTGTATACGTCTTATCTACAGTTGGAACACAGGCACCAACACCCCCGCCTCTCAGACCTGTCACCGCCTGGGTGGAGTCAGGCTGCGGCGGCCCACGCGACCTCAGCGGCCCTAGCGGTTCCTTCTCATCACTGCAGCACCCTGCCAACTACCCCCACTCCCACCACTGCGAGTGGCTCATCACCGTGGACCCCGGCATGGTCGTCACGCTGACGTTTGACGTGTTTGACGTCGAGCATCACGACACGTGCTCGCGTGACAGCGTCCTGGTGTACGACGGCCCGAGCACCTCGGCGGGGCTGATCGGGGAGTACTGCGGGAACGTCCCGCCCAGGAGGATCGTGTCGTCCGGGGAGCAGCTCTACGTCATCTTCAACACAGACGACGAGAACGCCTCGACCGGATTCTCAGCCAGTTTCCTAGCAGCGGATCCAAGTAAGTGGTGGCAGAACAATAGTCTTTTTCTGTCCAACCACTTCAAAGTGCCAGACGTGCCTCTTAGAAGAACAATGTATTTCACAGATCCCATTGCATGCTGGGAGAACACAACATTACCCATAGTGCCCCGCGTCTCCAAGCAGGCCATGGGAACTGTGAGGAGGCTTTTGCCTTAATTTATTTGCATTCTTTTTTCTAATGCACTGATTCAAATTCAACAGCTTCTTCTACTACCAATAAGATAATTTCATATCATGTCTAGTTCAACATTTCAAGTATCAACTTTTAACCCGCAGGTCAAGTGACGGATCTGCCAACAACCACAAGCAAAATTCACGTGACAACGACAGGTGGCAGTCACGTGACTAAGACTACATCTCAGCGGCCAATAGCAGGTCAGTACAGGGCTATGTTGTTCAACTTCAATAATTCTAAACAAAATTCATTTTATAGGATGGGAATTACAGTTTCCAACCTTCTAAGTCTACTTTTAGAGGCCAGATTGAATGGAAGAACACGTTTCTAGGATTGAGAGCTTTAGACATTTGATATGGTTACATACTGACATTGCTCCACTAAGTCCAATAAAGGCCCTGTCATTCTTACTAAACTAAGCAACCAAAACGTCTGTTGCAAACAGCCTAATGAGAAAACCAGTACGGCATTGACATAGTTGATAATGTCAATGTATAAATGCTTAAATAGTCTCATGAACTCGATAAGTTCTGACCCCTCAACAAAGGTCGTGGATGTCTTCATCACTCACGGTGATTAAAGTTCTAATGTGTTTTTTCTTCTCACCATTCTGTTGTTACTTTATCTACATAAACAATCGTGTCCATGACAACAGTGACGTCAGGAAGATAAGCCGTGTGGATTAGAGGATAATATTAATCTCGCATTTTAATTACATTACGAAAAACATTCCGAAGTTGGAGGACACACTCATAAGATTAATAGCATAGCAGGATTTAAGGCTAACGCACAGCGTACATTGTTTGGTTTTCAAAATAACCCACAAAACCAGCCATAATGGTAGTCCAGTGCCTTTTTATTCAAAGTAAATTTGAATGGAGCAAGACGGTATGGGCTCTTCACATTTCACACTATTTTCTAAAAAAATTACCATAAATCTTTCTGAATATTTTATTTGCAGATACAACACGTGGTTGGTCTGTTATTGTTGCTGTTGTCAGTATTTTGTTGTTGTTGAATATGTTATCATCATTGGTAATTTCTGGGAGACGTAATTCCTATACGAATTTGGAACAAGCATCGTCGTCTGAGAATGCTATGGGACGCTATTTGAAACGACTGACTCGTCAGAGTTTTTATTCAGATGCGTTATTTTGTATCACGAAAAGTTTTACCTGGATGTCGGGACACGTACTGCACCTGCAGCAGAACATACTACCTACGCGAAACCCCGATTTTTCAGGGTTTTCGTTGGATTTTTGGTCAACGTTGCATCAGGATTTTGCCTGTTGCAGGCGATACCTTTTCCGACACAATATTTAAAAACTACAGACGGAATGTTAACCTTATGTTCGCGAGTACGACCATATATGAGACGTTCTGCCGAACTGCTGTGCACAATACAGTACGGGTTTTCGTGCAGGTGTAGTACGTTCTGCTAACGTGTCGGATGTCGGCAAAGTAACATGTACAATCCTATTGTTTTTGTAGATCCCACAACTGAAGGAAATAATCCAGCTGGGGGAGCGAGTAGCAGTTTCCAGGCTACCCACATCGCCTGGATGGTCGTGATGCGGGTCGTGTTGATGTTCTTACAAAGTATCTAAAGTAGACTAGCTTTAATAAGGTGTTTGCACTCACGTGACTATGACGTAAGAATTGTCCGCCATATTGGATGGTTGAAATCTTGTCAGGTTAATCTAAATTTGTAGTATTTTGTAGTATGATTTAAAGTAATTACAGTCAGGTAGTTTCATGCACATTAAACACACCATTCAAGGTAGTTACATATTATAAACATTATTCAACTTATACTGGTCTAATTTCTACGGTTCACCTACAAATATGGCGACTGTGACGTCACGTTCAAACGCCCTAGCGGGGTTGTACGAATAACATCGATTCTATTTTAACACACTATTCTTGAATGACCATTGACTGCACTACAGCCCTCATTTTTGAGACGTGAGCACTTTAGGGGGGCTTCTGTAGTGTCAAGAGGTTTTTATGGTTTGTCTTTATGTATGTATCATTTTCATATTTGTGTTGTTTAGCTCTTAATTCTCAGTTCAAGTTCCTATTTTCTATATAATTATGTTGTTACTTTTTATCTAGATGCTGTACATATTAGAGTTTTTCCAACACTTCCATAGATCTATCAAGTACACTGAAACCTAGAATATTCAGAGAATTTGCAATAAAATTCTCTTGTGTCACCGTGAAACTAATTTTTCTCTGCGGTTCTTTTTGAGCACTTATGTATAATTCTCAATGTTTGCTTTTCGCAGAATATATATAAGTTCGCTCTACCCAGTGGGAATTTTAACATCTGGTCAACGCATACGTTCTTATCTAATTCAAACATACATTTTTTCATGTAACCTATAATTGATAACATACCGTTTAGTCGTAGATGGGCTTAAAAGAATGATGTAACAAGAAATGATGCAACGTCTTTTCTATTTGTCATTTTGCTCCGTACTTTTTAACACAATTTATGAGACCAAGTGTTCCTAATATCCACGTGCTATGAATCTGATGATGACAAAATCTTCGGTCAGACCATAATTTTGTCACCTTTAGACGTGTGTTTTTAATTTGACAATCGTACATTATTTTAAACTTTAAGTACCCATGAAACTTTGTGCGCTTTCATGAAACAACAGAAACATATCGAAGAAATTATTTTGTATGGAAGCATTTCGTCAGAAATACCATCAGTGATAGCTTTAGAAACGTTATAAAAAGTGAGTGAACAGAAAAAAAATCACACACAGAAATATGCAAGCACTATTTTATTCTCCTTCAGACTTTATGCGAAGGATCAACGTCGATTTGCAGTCAAAAAGCTTCGTTGCTATGGAAACCTGGCGGCCATCTTGGCCTGGTCTTGACCTGTGACCTTCTAGGCGTCCACGCAGGTGTAGGAGTTGGCCGCCATGCAGGTGCAGATCATGGTGACCTGGCGGATGGGGTCGTGCTTGGCCCACATCTGCCCCACGGTGTAAGGCAGTCCGCTGTCCGCGTCAGTACAGTCACCAATCACAACATTGGCGGGAGCTAGGCAGGCAGAGGAAACAACAACAACCATTACTATCATGAAAAGTCATCTGTGTTGGTACTTACATGTTTAAAGTTAAAACTTTTGGTCCAACACAAAAAATTCTCTCACCTAGAGCTTTCGACCAGTCACTCTGGACTTCCTCAAAGAAGCCACGTGACAAGCTTCACTGGGTCAGTCTACTGAGGAAGACCAGAGTGACTGGTCGAAAGCTCTAGGTGAGAGAATTTTTTGTGTTGGACCAAAAGTTTTAACTTTAAACAAACAACAACCATTGATGATCATTTACAAAAAAAATCTTAAAGATTCATTAACATTGCAATATTTGTAACCAGATGTCCTTCTCACTGTTTTTTGGTCAGTTATGCCGCCATTTGTCAATCATGTCGTATTGAGGTTGTGTCTTATTTCTGTGGCCTTGTCATTTGATGCAATAATGTAGATTTCAAAGCATGATGACAGTAGTAGATAACTATCCGAGAAATGCACATTGATTGGATTTTAAACCCAAGGCTATACATGATTGTCTAGTAACCGGAAATTCAGTTTTATGATACATTCCGTTATTTCAAAACATACCATCCACCAATCAGAACTTACCATCTATGCTTAGTGCATTTGCGTTCATTTCGAAGGAAACAGATGTGTGTATGTACTCACTGCAGATGCTACAGAAAGCGTGGCAGTTTTCTGCAACGTAGTCAATGGAGCACATGTCGGGGGAGGGCCAGCCGGGGTTGGCTCCGCAGTTGATGTTGCTGTCCTGGCACACGTCTGAACACGCAAAAATGACAAATTAGGCTTTTTACCTATACCAGAAACGTCTAAAGTAAGGCTCTGTGGGGAGGAGGGCAAGGGGTGGCTCAAGAATGTTGTAAATGTGGGTTGGGGAGAGAATTTGAAGGGTTCAGAGCTTACTAATATATTTTCTTCTCACTATACCATTAGACACGTAAAAAAGTAGAAGGCACATGGGCAAATTTGCATATTCAAACTCTACTTGATAATGTTAGGAAACCATCATGCGTGAATGGTGACTGTTGCTGCCCTCTAGCGATGTGTATCAGTACTGCAGATATGTAAGAAGACGCGGGAAAAGACGTACCTGAGCAGTCCTCTCCGTCCCAGCCAGCTGGGCAGGTGCAGGTGCAGGTGTTAGCGTCCAGCTGTCCGCCATTGAAACAGTGCAGAGTGCAGGCTAAAACAATAAACATAGAGATCACTGATGGAGGGCGACATATCATTGTCTACCAGATACCTTTGACCCAGTGTTGAAGTCACACTTTAAAGACGCCACGTGACAAGCTCCACTGGGTCAGTCTACTGAGAAAGACCAGAGTGACTGGTCAAAAGCTCTAGATGAGAGAACTTTGTTGTGTTGGATCAAAAGTTTTAACTTTAAACATGTGACTACCAACACAGATGAACTTTCATGATTGACAATTTTTGTCGTTGCGAGTGTGATCTGCAAAAGTTTCCAGCCAATGGAGACCTTAGAAAAACTTAGTAGGTAACTAAACTACACAGTTTCATATTCCCTAACGCGGTTCCTCCTATCGCCACTTATATTAATTGTTTAATGTAACATCAATACAGTGAGAGAAAATTAAAATTCGTACTTTCACAGAAGTCTCCGGCCCAGTACCCGGGGCAGTTGCAGTTGCAGGTGTTGTCTCCCCAGTTGGCGGGGTTTCCTCCCCTGTTGCCGCCGTTTAAGCACGGTCCCCTCGGGTCGTCAGCGCAACCTCAACACAACACAGCGGCGTTTGTAGATTACTTTTAAGTGTTTCATTTAGTACAAGAGAGTACACATGTACCACTGATTCTTCTTCCGTCTTCTACAAGGATCCACCTACCCTAGCGTGCGCGTTTCGCCAGATATCTTCCCAAATACGTTTTTTAAGCAGACGCTTATAACACATTGTCTGAAGAGCTGACTTCCAGTAATCAAGGTAAATCAAGGTAATCCATATCTAAGGGATTTGTTCATACTCACTGCATTTCCCGCAGAACTCCTGGCACGCCTCCTCCACATAGTCGGTAGTACACATGTCAGTCAGCGGCCACCCTGGACTGGCGCCGCACTTCGGGTCCGTGTTCTTACAAGTTTCTGTCATCAGACGTAAAAGTTAGAGGAGATCATATCTAACAGTACGCCCTACACCTTTAATTTTAAGCAGACTATCAAGAATCTATCAATGAAGAATACAAAATGGTATTGGATAAATCTTAGACGAAAGGACGTTTGTTCAAGAGGCAAGTTTTAGAAATAAAGAAATGATACCAAAGGTTTTTGGTATATCACGTGACCTACCCGAGCAGTCGTCACCATAGTAACCAGTCGGACAGACGCAGACACAGGTAGCAGGGTCCACCTGGCCACCGTTAGCGCACGTCAGGGTACACACTATTGAAATAATAAAAAAAAACAAATGGGAGATTTCAGACTTCTGGGAAGTATTGAAGGGTCCCTCGAGCACTTCTTGACTTTCTGGATTCCCCCATTCCAGTTGGCTCCTGTGTTTGACCTTGTGGACCTCCTTTCATTCTGCCTGCCAATATTCCCCATCCGCGTGCTGTCAACCTGCCCTTTCTAGACAGACACACAAACCCACATCTCAGTTCCGATGGTGTAATATTCTCCAATTCTCAACAAAATAAGCAGTCTATGTAAAGCTCACACTGGATAAACCCTATGACTGAGAATCATAAAAAAATTTAGCGACATTTTACCTTCACAGAACTCGCCGGCCCAGTTTCCCACGCAGTTACAGTCGCAGGTGTTGGGTCCCCAGTTGGCGGGGTTTCCTCCCCTGATGCCGCCGTTTAGGCACGGTCCACGGGGGTCCGTAGCACAGGCTAGATACAACCAATAACAACTTTAACCACTAAACGCAGTACCATACTAACTGCTCCGCCCCTGAGGCGTCGCCAAAAATGACAACTTCGGTTTCAGCAGCCTTCAATATACTGATACGTAAAAGAATGGTTCGAAAACTTTAACACATTTCACAACATAGATCGGGAGGGAGAAAAGAATTACTTTTAATAGATGTATGAAAGTAAATTTTCTACAATATAAGCAGGGAAACCGGATAAAGCATTAAAGCTACATGTATTTCCTTTATGCGTGTGGGTGTGGGTAGGGATGACCGATGGTCATAGCAACATGGTGCCTTCTCATTGGCTAACGTCATTTGGCTGTATGATAGACATGAATCTAGCCTGGGTACCATCCTGGTTAGTTTACATCCGCTCCCACAGTCGCTAGTGTTTGGTCGGTAGCGACTGTGGGAGCGGACGTAAACTAACCAGGATGGTACCCAGGCTAGACATGAAAAACTGAAGAATAAGGAAGTTAACATACTGCAGTCGCCGCAGAACTCGGGACAGTTGGGTCTGACGTAATCAACTGTGTCGCACATGGACTGGAAGGGCCATCCCGGACTCGCACCGCAGTTCTGGCTCAGGTTCTGGCAGTAGTCTGGAGACAGAGAATGTTGTAAACTGTTATACGATACCTATTAAACTGATTCAATTTTTTTATCATGATGAGTTGGCTGAATGAAAACGTCATGGAGGAGGGGGTCTCCTATGGGCCCGGTGATGGATAAGGCCATGTTGATTTAATTGTATTGATGACAACCGCGCGCGCATGAATTTTTAGCCGCTTCAAAAACAAAAAGGTTTTCAACCATACTGTCAATCGTACAAAATATTTGCAAAATGAGCAAATATATACCGTAAGTTGCAAAAAAAATATTGGAAAACGATACCAATGTCGTAGAATGCCAAATCAAATGAAAAAAGACGAAAATGTAAAGAAATGAATTTGAAGAGTAGATTATTCGCTATACCATATCCTGTCATGTGTTCAACCTTCATGACCACGTAGATTTCAGAATGAAAGCAACTTTTTTTCTTTGCCAAACTTTTTTTATTCGCACGCTCGCATCAGTTTTGGGGTTCCTGGAGGATGTCATCCATATAATCAAATCAACATGGCCTAAATGCAAATATCATAGGAGGCAGACGTTTAAACAAAACGCTACTGTGGACATAATGACACGCATCCTTAGATAAAGGATCGTTGATAAACAGGTATTTATACTGCAATCTATATAACATATGTTGCCAGTTTCTTCTGTCTGTTGGAGTGGAAATAGCATTTAGAGTCTAGATTATTTGTGAAGGGAAACGTGTCTCTTGCGGACGGAACAGATAAAAGATACACATCAAAACAACGCAGATCTCATTTCAATTAAATCTTAGTAAACCATTGTTAGTTATGGAATAATACTTCTTTTTGTCTGCCACGGAGACAAAGCTTTCAAGGTTTTTGATCATCTTGCTGTAAATGTATCTTTGTCCTAAATTTTTTCTTTAATACTAGTAATAGATCAACACAAGAAAACTGTTACTCAAGCAACAGGATATATTTTGAAAACTGGTAGACGTTTTAGGTAGCACTCACTACTTTTCGTCAGTGACAACTAGAATTTAACATATTGATCTTTTGAAAACTTGAAAGTAACGTACCTTGAGCCAGAACGTAGCCGGTCAGCATGAAAAACAAGGCGGTGGTGAGCATTTTCCCCTCGTAACTGATAGAACGGACAAACTAAAAAAAAACACCTGGTCCGACTGTGAGCTGTAAGAGCAATAATCAGATGCGTCACGGGGATGTCTTTATCATTGGAGGAACCACTGCGCATGTATTCTATATATATAGGCTAGGAAACAAGGCCAGGATATCACCTTTTGACCTTCAAGTAACCGGTAAATATTGCTAATATGGGAAGACACAGGTGCCATGTAATCCAACTGTCGTTAACTTTAACCCAGAAATTTTAAGTATTTAACTTTATCTGCTAGGTGTTTGACTTCGATTATTGAAACATTTTTCTGCCTTTCTGGAAATTGCAAGACGTCCAGTTTTATCTTTTTTTTCGATAAAAATGTGCCGACATATCAATGCCTTTGTCCGTTACGTACATCCGTGGAATTTGGTATCTAATAAACTTCCTTATAAATGATAATTATATGACCAATTTTATACCATTATTTGTATCTCCACCACTGTTGCTTAGGATTCGAAGAATCCTTGATAGGAAATAGTTTTATAATGAGGATATTTAATTTCATTGTGGATGACAAGAGGATGTTTAATATATATATCCACTGTTACAGGAAAATGCCAGTGTATAAGTGATGATAAAACAATGGTGAAGATAGGTGATGAGGGGTCAACCGCGGTCACCCAGTTCAGCCGCAGACATGTCACCTGTATCATGTTATATTTTATCTGACCCTGACCTCTGTCTTCATGACCTCAATGAAAAGCGACCATCAGGCCGATTTGAGGGTTTCATTAATAAACAAACAAATAAGGGCCATGGTTATATTATATTATTATCATAGCGTTTGTATAGAGTTCATCGGCCGTCCTTATAAATATGATTACTAGTATATAAAGTTGATATAATTCTGATTCTCATATGTTTATAAATTGTGGTATGTTAGTAAATTAAATGTTGTGACGTTTGTCTGTGACTTTGGTATTCTTTTTCTGAATCAAATGTTTCAACGATGAAAGAATTTCGGACCACTGAAAAAGAAATAGTTGCTGGTGCTGTCAGCGTTTTAGGCATCATTTTCCGTTCATATTGGTCTAAATAAAGGAGCGGGTTTTCTACCAATATTCCACTTCTCCAAACGAAAAAAAATCGATTACAAGGAACAAAAAAAGTTATGACTATATGACAAAAATGTTCAACATTGCGGTGTGAAAAATTAACCCCGTGTGCATGTTTGCTAATCCCCAAGGAGTTCCCTTTCGGTGGCAAGACAGTATCCATTAGCCAGAGGAGTTTGTCGCTGGCTAATGGACACTCCTCTGGCCAATGGATACTGTCTTGCCACCGTATGATCTGCTTGGAGATTACATGTTTACATTTTCTAGCAGACGGAACAAACACCTGCGGTGACGTTCTTTAGTCGATGATTTATGATGACATGTCTCGTCCGGTACGCCCCGCTGGCCAGGATGTGACAGAAATAGCAGGACTACAAATAGATCCGTCCAAAATGGAGGTCAAAAACGTCAAGTTTGCCAAGGGAGGACGATGGTATATAATAGGTTCCTTTTTTTATTGAAACATACAGTGACAAGACGTGGTGGCGACACACTCAAGTTACACTTATATTCATGTCGCCGCCAGACAATACGTAATACAAGCAAGCAAAGCACGAGTTTTCATATAGAAGTTGCATACAATAATTAAGCAATGAACAAGTGAAACAAATATATTAATACTGACAGGATTGATCAAGATATTACAAAAATCAAATGATTTTAATAGGTTCCTTTGCCGGTTAGCATTCACACAGCACAAAAACGGACTTTTAATTTAACTTTACGAACTACGCAGAAATTATTTCGGCTCACTCAACAATTTTGGGAGGGCTACTGAAATACAAATTCGTACCATAAGCCACAGTAGTGTGGAAATTTCACGTAAAGGTAATCTTTTCGTACTCGGATAGGAGTCGTATAGCCTGACTAAATCTGCGCTCCTAGCGGCCGGCCCGGTATTACACCAGCCGCCCCGGGCCGGCCGCTAGGAGCGCAGATTTAGTAAGGCTAGGAGTCGTAAAGTTACGGAAAGAATGTTAAACTACGTCGCCTTAAAAACAAAATCAGCACTGTATGCCGTGTAGGTTGCTAAGACCGCTTATCTTGTAGAATTCATACGAAATTCCATGATTATACTTCCATTGGGTTATCAAATCAATAGGAACTGATGAGAGATATTATATTATACATGTATCTGGTTCGGTCAATGCATCTTCCCACCTTTGATGGCTGTATACAACTATAGGTCTTTGGGAAAAGACGCCCTCTAATAGTCGACACGGTTTGGTGTAGCTCAAGAGGGACATGTACAGGCAAGTTTTTCCTCACGTGAAGTTCCATTCTCAGACGATAGGCGGCGTCCGTCTCTAATAATAAAGAGAGCTCGGTTCATCACTGCGCCACATACGCACATGTACTTTCTTTCATGAGGTAATCGTGAAAATTTGTGCGCACCGTTTCCTCGATACATTTCTCTCTCGTTTGTTTTATTTCAATTGCTTTGTCAGATGTAACGAACCAACTATCACGTTACAACTACGAACATTCAAAACAGGTGGCAGGCTAGCACGTTGTCCCGTGGGCGTGTACTAGTATCTTACTGCCGGGTTAGGAGTACCCTGGATGCCAGACTTGTATCGGGCCGCTAACACTTTCCCTTCGGCAGCCAGAAGCCTTTCGCCCGCCGGTCTAAATAACCGGTACGGGGAGCTGAGCCCGAGGCGAATTTGGCGTGGCCAGCCTAACTCCCCCCAAGGGCTGTTGGCTGCCGAAGGGAACAGCTTTCGGCCCGAAACGAGTTTGGCACCCAGGGTAGGTTTGGAGCACGACCAACCATAACTTCCTGGCGAAATGATGAAAATGATTTGCTGTGCAAGCGTTTGGCTGTACACGCCAATGCTTATCGGATCAAAAACCTTTCTGTCAGCATGATACCGCCAGATAGATTATGCTTACTGAGTAGGGTTTTTTCTTGATCAAATTTATCTTTCATCGTTTCTTGCCGTTATGGAGCTTTAAAAACAACAGATATTATTGTTAATTTTTAAGGAAAACTAACATGTTAGTTCATCATGTACTAGCGCAAGTACATAAGATGTCCCTAAAGGCATTACATATACATATAGTAATAATTAATGCTACTCTGACACCTGTTGGATTTACTGACTGACCTTATTTCTGACCATATCGTAAACCGTCATTGTCTTAACAAAGATAAAGTATTACCGTCAAAACCACAGAGGCTATAACCTCCATGGCTATAAAGCCATATATGCGATATACATGTGCTTGGGTTGAATGTAAGGGTTGGGTGGGTAGGTAATCTGTATGACGTATCAGAGCGTATTCTTTTTGGATGCTCGGTAAACAATACTCAACCGTATTGGAGGACAGAGGTTTAGAGTTCTGAATTCAACTGGTGTCTTGGGGTCAATGACCTACATACTAACTTTGGTGGCGCGTGAAATGCCATTATTGTCTTCCTGCTACTTTCAAGCAGACAGCTGCTTTTGAACAGAAGGCGTCTTATAAATATGTATAGCGCGATGCACAAAGCACTCGCCGACCTCCTCCGTGAAAAATGACCCCGTTACGCAATCGACTTCTCAGAATGCTCGGGGAAGTGAAAGCGCCGCCTATTGATCTACCTGATATTGCACCATGAGAACCAAAATCACGACGCACTTTTTGGTAAGATATTATCGTCGAGTCGGAGATCTCGTTTCCGAGAGGCAACTGTATGTCGAAACCAGTCAAAGTCTTCTGAGGCCCATGAGTGTTGTACCATCATTCCTCTTGGTAATATAAATTAAGGGGGTCGCATTCCAGTCAGACATAGTTTTAGACATACATGTACTGTCGTTTAATATAGTTCTAGACAGCTACCTTTATCATGTAGACTTTAGTTATTTTATACTCTTTTTCATTGCACTCTTATGTTTTGTAAATAGCCTCCGGGCGCGAATTTGCAATAAACTTTTTTCAATATATTACCCCATTTGTTTCATGTGCGGCCTTGCGGTCATCAAGTCCTATCAAACTTCCAAAATCTGTATAGTCACAAAAGTTGGAAACTTTCCACTGAAAGGAGGAAACCGCAACCCTGCCTGGACTTGCCTACAGGTCGTTGGCCCCGATTTGAGCTAATTTCCGTGCGCAACAACCGCTAAGTAAAAACACACTAACCCCCTCCTGTCCCACTTTGAGACAAACGCTTCGTATCATGTTGAAAGACTGGGGGAGCCAACCAAAACAATCTGCGGTTTAGCCGCGGTACAAGCAAGGTGGCCGAAAACAAGATTCACTTCACTGATCTTCATTCTCGAGCCTCTATTATGTATACGAGATCAGTGCCTGTCTGAAAAGTGACAAGGATTTAATTGGACTCTAGTACATTCGCAGCACGTTTGATTTTTTTTCAGAGAATTACTTCAAGACGTCTTAAAGAAGTGAGGGGAACTTCCGGTGTAGTACATCCGGTGTCGGTCTCCTGAAGGTCATGACCTGGTGGGCGTGTTGTACCGTGCCGTGACAAGCCCGGGCTTAGATCAGCGGATTTCTCCGAAAACCTGCAGCACCCGAAACTTTGGCAGCGCAGACTACAAAAGTCGGAAGCCAGCAGCAGACTTGCTTCAGTCTTGCCTTGGCCCCGGCAGCGGTCACAGCGAGAAGCGAGGAGTGTTCGGAGAGTCTTCGGTTGGAGAAGAAAACATGGCGCTACAGTGGTTGAAGCGTGCTGTTGTTTACACAAGCGTCTTACTCGTGTTGAGTGGCCTAGTGTCTTCAAAGAAGTCTTCGGGTAAGACTCTTCTTCTTCCTTACTAGTCATACTTCTATACGTTATAAACTTCTATTTGTGTTCAGGATAACTTGCGGCTTATTAAACCGTTCTCCCTGTTGAGAAATTTAATAGCAGGGTCAAGTTGTTAGAAACGATTTATGGATTTTTGTTTACTTCTTGATGTAACATGTGCTGACTAGAAGAAATGTTCTAACTCCAGTTCCTTCAGTACATCTTATCTTTTTTGGCTTTTGTCCAAAATCCCGCTAGGTTGTTATTCAGAACGTGTAGAATGGATTGTCAGCAGTTTGTGGTTACCAATTTTGGTATAAATGCCCTTACCACATGCACGGACCATAGTAGCACACATTGTTATGTAAAATAAATGTCGTTGTAGCTTACATGCGGTGGTGTTGGATTTACTGTGCGTAGTATCGGTATACGTAGTTTAAAAAAACTCATGTATTAGATGTAGGAAAGGGGTATGAAGTACGGCGTTTCTTATGAAACTGTGTGGTTGCGCTATTTGATCCTATTTGTCATGCTAATTTTCAGTGTTGGTAATGACAGATATTTGTATCTGTGGTGTCGAATGCACACCTGCGAAACCTTAAGGGAAATAGTTTCATGTGAAACTTAAGGTAACCCAAAGGCCCCACTCCACTAGGGTAAATTGTCCGCATAGAGCCGAATTGATTCGTTTTGATGCGGCTTCGATCCGACTCGATGCGGCTCGAAGCCAGCTCGAAGCCGGATCAAAGCGAATCCATTCGATCGACAATTTTATCCTAGTGGGAATGGGAGAAACCAAACGAAACCAAACGATCGTAACATTTTTTGTTACTTAATTGAATATAGTCCGTGCCAATAGCAACTCGAATTACATAAAATAATTACGTGAACCAAACGATTTCCAAATTTCGGACATTAGTCGCAATGACTCCTATCTTGTAACCAGATAGGACTTGTGACTTAAAACGGGTTTACGTACAATAGAATTATACAAAACGTCTTGCTGGGACCCCACAAAAAGAAGGGCCAAAGTTCAGTAGTTAAACCCACCGCAGCGTTGACGTGGTTAGTAAGACTTGAGATCCTGTTTACTTGACAAGTGGTTCACAGTTTACATCTGCACGCCTTTGGGTTAATTGGATCTTTGCCATGTCGCTTTGAAAGCTTTTGGACGTAAGGCCACAGTGATTTATAATATGGATAACATCCGCGCGCGCTAAGGCAGAGGTTGGTGGGGGAAGATCGTTACCCTTTTATATATGGCCCGTTTTTTTGTCCCACCTTGGGTCGCGCATGGACTCTCTCGCCAATAGATATTGGATCTGCTTGGAGATTAGTAACATGAACTTGGCACGCCTCTCGAACATCCTGACCGATTTCAGGCTGCCGCCCGAGTTTGGCACACTCCTACATGAGTGGGTCATTTTCGTGGAACGAAGGGATGTTGTTTTCAATTTTCAGTGGTAGTTAGGATGAACTTGGCAAGGTTAGATCTCCAGAACACCCTGAAGGATTTCAGGCTGCCGGCCAAGTTTGGCAACCGGTTCCACTTACATGTATGGTAGATTTTCGTTGAACGGAGGGATGTTTTCTTTCCAACTTCTGTGAAGGCAGGCTGAACCAAGTTGGCAAGGTCATATCTCACCCTGACGGCTTTCAGCCTGCCGCATTATGGGCCTGTCCCTTGCCAGGCTATTCTACTTTTCTGCTCTGTTTGATAAGGTAGTAAGGACTATGGCTTTGAAAGAAAAGTAATGCTTGTGTTTATGACTCGTGGTCTTAGAAAGGCAGGAAAGATGCACTGTGTCTCGTTAGCAAATGAGATACAGAAAGAAGGAACGAACGAGCGAGAGACAGATGGACGGTAGAAAAGAGGCTAGGGAGAGGATGGGAAGGAAGGGGAGAAAAATGATCTAGAAAAGAGACTCCAAAGACGGGCAAAAAATTATGATGTGTTTACCTTTTATGCCCTCATAAAAGATGACTCACTGTCTCACAAAAAGAAGTCGACCCAACAAGTTAGACTTTAGTGTTAAGTAACTAGAGTAGTCGCACACTATATTGTTATCCATGGCATCTTTTACTTTCATGTTACACGTACTTGCAATTAGCCCACGGGCAGGAACTTGCAATAATTTTTTTTATTCCCCCCCCCCCCAATAGACCGTCATTGTTCCGAGTATGGCGTACTGAACGAGTCTTGGAGAAGCGTCCAAGTGGAGGAGCGTAACGCGCCTCGCCGCTGCGACGACGGGGACGGGTTCGCCCGATGGTACCGGTTCATGGGGGAGGCCGGCACGGCCATGCCGACAGAACCACCGCCGTCCTCCCACCGCTGCGGCTCCGACGCCCCCGTCTGGGTCAACGGGACCAACCCAACGTATGAAGACGGCGTGGTCGAGCGGCAGGCGTGCGCACGGTTCTCGGGGAATGTCTGCTCTTGGTCATGGACGATCCACGTAAAGAGATGCCCCGAGGGATTCCTCATCTACAAGTTAAAACCAGTGGAAGCATGTCGTCTGACATATTGTGGTTTAGGTAAGAAGAATATCGTTGTCTTAGTTACAGAACATTGTTTTGGGTGGAAGCCTGGGTGCCAAACCCATAGCACACTGGACACAAATGAGACAGGCTCACTGAGATACTTTGCGTCCAGTGTGCTATGGGTTTGGCACCCAGGCTATTTGGGTGGTGGCTGATCTGTGAGTTTGATCGTTTCATCTCCAAGTTAGCGACGGTTGCATGGAGGGTGGGAAGTGATGTTTATTGTTGATTGACAGGGAGGTCAAGCCTGGAGGTGATCGATCACGTGTCGGAGTGGGAGGAATGTGGAGGAATTCAAGTGACCATGCGATCTCCTCCACATATTCAATACATGTACTTTAAATTGCCAAAAGTCTGATATTTCGGATTGCTTGTTTTGCATAATTCGATCGCCTTTTTGCTTTTCTTGCCCTCCCACGCTTCACTGCAATATGCGTATGTAAGGGAAAACCATCTTCTCAACAGGTGTTCAAAAAGTGGCGGTTGATGACGTCGCCAGGCCTGCATCCAATGAAGACGACGATGGATCTGGTGCGTTGGACGTACACAAAGAAGTTCCCATAGCAAAAGGTAAGTAACTACTTTTTGTAACCTTTCAACATACTATCAGTTCCACTTCTCTCCTTTCTCGTGTTTAAGCATATGAGCTGAATAGATATTACATTTTACACGTGGAATATTTGCTATCTAGTTACTTAGATTAGTAATTTTTCATCCCTCTAGGCTTGCGTCATAGGCAACCGTTACCTATGTTGAACATCGAAAATAAGAGCCCCCCTCCCGATTGAAAAACACGACCGCATGTACATCGCAAAACAGCCGAAAATAAACGCCAATCACTCATAGTAGGTTTGCACAGGAGGCTATAATTGCCTCATTGGCATAGGTCATTTGTTTCTTTATGGCAAAGGTTGTATATTCAGTATTGTAGTCGGCCAGTGGCTTTTTGTTGATGTCAGTTCTTTTAGGTTAATACCTCAGTATATTATACATCGTCTTCCTTCTGTTTTGTTCCAGTTCATTCAGCTTGTCGCGACTACCGCATATTGAATGAGCCACAGAGAAGTATACACAATCAAGTGGATCCAAATGCAGCCGCAATCGACCTTATTTGCGATCAGAGGAGCAAGGTGGAAAATAGACTATGGTACCGCTTTGAGGGAGAAGGCGGCGGCATGATACCCACGGAGCGCCCCCTTACGGCCAATCGCTGCGGTACACACGCTCCTGTCTGGATGCAAGGAAGGCATCCAACCGTAGAGGAAGGTGCTGTTACGCGGACCGTGTGCGCGTTCTGGGACAGAAATGACTGCAACTGGTCCTGGAAGATAAAAGTGCTCTCGTGTCCCGGAGGTTACTTCGTCTACAAGTTACGAAAACCAACAGAATGTCTACTTGCGTACTGCACAACAGGTTGGATTGCTTGTTACCTTCGTTAGAAGGTTATGTGTTTAGGTACACAATATATAGGGGTTGCTGATTTTGTAATCGGTTATAAAACGTGTGTGGTGCATGTATCTTTCTGATTTTGGAAAAGGAAGGTCAAGGTCAATTTTGGGTATTCTAGCGGTTTTGTAAGGTACTGCAGCAGGGTACGTGGTATGATATCTCGCGCTGTGGACATGCTATGGTCTTGTTTTTTTAGTGGGACATAGATGCTTGGGCAGTAAGTATCTGGTGTGGTTTTCAGCCCAGTCTTGGTGGCAAAGGGATCGTTCTAAAGCAAAAAAAATGGCATCCAGGATGGCAAAAGACATCATATGATAGACATGTAAGTCATAATTTAAAGAGTATTTATGGATGTCTCCCCTACTGCAGATGGATCCCCTCAGAGGACCACGCCGCCTCCGACACCTGTCAGATCTGAGGATTTCCTGAGTGATGAGGAGGATGAAGTCAGTGGATCAGGGGATGACAAAGGTAAGATAAAGAACAATATGAGATTTGGTAAACTTATATTTCCAATACGTAGAGGGGGGGGGGGGGAGAGAAGGAGAATACTCCAAACATTACAAATTTAAAATTGAATCAATTTTTTTCTGTGATCAATATTGGACACAAAAAAACATCGACAATGAATTTAAATGGCGATCGCAAGCTCTCTATTCACCTTTGAATGAAGTATCATTTTCTTCCATTTTTAGTAGTTAGGAAGAATCTGGCTCTTCATAAACCGACAAGGCAGTCATCTCTATGGGACGCCGGGTACTCGGGAAACGCCGTGGACGGTGTCCGCAGCACGGACTGGTACAGCGGATCCTGTACGCACACCAAGGCCAGTCTTCGTCACAACGTCTGGAAGGTCGGCACAACAGACCCCTGGTGGTACGTGGATCTCGGCTCGTCCTATCCAATCGGCAAGATCGTCATCGTGAACCGAAGAGCACGGAATCCTGTGGTGACGGCAAGGATCAGCCCGTTCGACATCCACGTCGGAAGTTCCGAAATCGTAGCGGCGAATCCGAAGTGCGGCCATGGCGGACGCGTTTTCCCGCCCGGGGAAGACGAGATGGGCGTGTCGTGCGGAGGGATACAGGGGAGATACGTCGGAATTCGCCTCCCTGGAGAGAACAGAATCCTGACTCTGTGTGAGGTTGAAGTGTATGCAGGTGAGAAATATATCAGAAAATTACACTAGTATGAGTATGCGCGTGCGTATGTGTGTGTGTGTGTGTGTGTGTGTGTCTGTGCGTGTGTGTGGCATTTGTGTGTTCTTGTGTGCATGTGTGTGTGTGTTTGTGTGTGTGTGTGTGTGTGTGTGTGTGTGTGTGTGTGTGTGTGTGTGTGTGTGTGTGTGTGTGCATGTGTGTGCATGAGAGAGAGGCAGTGAAAGCGACTGTTAGGAATATTCGTTAAAAGTGCATACTTAATTTCAGTGAGAATATCATTAGAAATTGTAAAATTCAAGTGACTAAGTTTTACGAGTAGTTTGTTAATTAAATTTTACACTTAACAATGGTATTTATTACGGAAATTTTAAGTTTTACGAGCTAGTAATCTATTTTCGCAGAGGTAAACCCACAGACGACATTGTCACCTGTTCCTACTGAACCTGTCTCACCTGACGATGCAGACGATGTAGGTTCCGGAGCATCTTCCGATTCAGGTAAAGAGAGACAGATGACCTTAAAACTTCACATTATGCAAGTTGAATTTTAGATTCTGCATAGATTTTGGTTGATACCTGTCAGATTTCCAATCCCATCCGGGGCCCGACCGGGTAGTCTTATGGGACGAAATGTATGATATAAAAGACAACAAAGCACAATCAAGTTGAACAAATATTAATGGTAACTATTTGCGTATATTATACATATAAATTGTTTATTTTTTGTTAAAATGGTAACTATTTGCGTATATTATGGATGTAAATTGTTTATTTTTTGTTAATCGAAACAGCCAGGTCGGGTCCCGGTTTGGCAATTTGTTCTGTCCCAATGGAACACCTTTTCCCTTTGTATTTTTACAGTTCATCCACGGTGTCTTAAGCACAAAGTGGTATATAGCGGGTGGAGACAACTGAGGAACAATGAGTCTCACCACATGTGCGACAAGAGTAAGGTTAGCGGGATAAAAGATGGTCGCTGGCATCGCTTCCTGGACGCAAGAGATGCCAGTATGGTGATACCCACGGAGCGCCCCCTGTCGACCCACCGCTGCGGTACACACGCTCCTGTCTGGATGAAAGGAAGGCATCCGACCGTAGAGGAGGGTGCTGTTACGCGGACCGCCTGCGCGTTCTGGGACGAAGATGAATGCAAGTGGTCCTGGGAGATCGACGTCATGGCGTGTCCTGGTGGTTACTTCGTCTACAAGTTACCAATACCCCCAGTCTGTCAACTCGCGTACTGCACAACATGTGAGTTTGCTCACTCATCGTTATACATGTCAGATATGTTTGCATGCGGTTTCACAGCAATGTTACACCATTATATATGAACAAAGATCAGTCCCATAAATTTGCTTATGCATATGACTACAACCATGTATTTTACATACTTGAATTCATTTAGCATCTTTCCTGTTTAATCACTTATATGCTAGATAATACTTCCGTCATACGTGAGTTCACTAATCATGATGATTCAATGTAAAAGTGGTTACGCCTTATCGATCCAGATTAAATAGAACGTGTTTTGTAAAATGTCAGTTTTTCTTTCAATTTACATCTCCTTACAGATGGAAATCCACAGACTACAACCGACGATTCACTGAGCGATGATGAGGATGACGTTGGGTCCGGGGAACCATACGACGAAGGTAATACACAAGACAAAACCTGCCTTCTAACTTATAACATCGTGGGGTCGAGTGGCGAAACGGTAGCGTGTTCAACTAGGAACCACCAACAGGTCCCGGGTTCGAACCCTGTGGCAGTGCCATACCACTGATCTTGTTACCTTGGGGAAAACACTTCACACGACTATCATAACTTTGCTCAGGTCTGTCTTGTCATCTGTGTTTGGTGGCAGCATAAAAATAAGTTGAAAAAAAAAACTTGTGTACCGTCACTATGTCTTGTGATTACATGTTGGAATGAAAAAACAAAACTTCTAACATTCAGTGAGGACGAGTTCAGAAGTCAGTAGCAGCTCCCGTCTCCGATTGTTAAAGGTTGATGTAAGGTAAGGTACGAAAATAATATTTTTTTTCAACGAAGTGAGTAGTTATTGTGTTTGTTTTTTCCTACAGTAACCCCACAAACAACAATGCCATCTACGACGACAGTAGGCTGTGTTACACAAGCTCTCGGCCGGGGGGCGGCAACTTCGGGGCGGCCGACCGCCAGGAGCGCGATTAGTCAGGCTACGACGACAGTTCCTGTCCCAACGGATGCGCCACCTAGCGATGATGAAGACGATGCTGCTAGTGGTGAGTCTAAAATTAGCAATCTAACTAATCTTTGTAACTTGAAAGAATTACACAGTTATGTTGGTGACATTTGTTGTTTGAGTTTCAGATTCAGGTACGTTTGAAGTAATGGATGAGGAATTATAACTGAAATTATATTTGCACAGTCCATGTATTTCTTTATCATTAAGCTTCTGTTCTATTACAGTTACCCCATGCCCTAGCCACTATGTATTAGACGAGCCATGGAGAAGTGTGAACGCACAGAGTGAGGACATGTGCGACAAGAGAACCTCCCTAAAGCACGACCAGTGGTACCGCTTCGTGGGAGCAGGAGGCACCATGATGCCAACAAAGCGCCCCCTGGAGACAAATCGTTGCGGTACACACGCTCCCGTCTGGATGAAAGGAGAGCATCCAACCAGCATCCAGGGTGCGGTTAGGCGAACTGCGTGCGCGTTTTGGGAAGGGGAAGAATGTCATTGGTCATGGACAATCCACGTCATGGCGTGTCCGGCAGGCTATTACGTCTACAAGTTGCCGAAACCGACGATTTGTCACGCTGCTTACTGCACAACAGGTAAATTACAAACAGATTTGTAACAGAATTGGTCATAGCTTAGTGTCCAGTCCTATCGTGTTTTGGGCAGGCTATCTTCGGGCCTGTAGACGATTCCCGCCGCCAAGTTTAACTTAGGTTTCCCGGTAGTTTTTACGCCTACGTTTTTACGTCGAAAACGTCTTCGTTGACCCTATCACTGCGGGCTTCATCAAAATCCATCCGCGAAGTTGGTACGGGCACATCTCTATGCGGGCAAAGATCGTTACGGGTTCGAAGGTTTTCAATAACAGCAGTCAAAGTATCTTGCTCTAAATGTTATTATTTCTGTTATATAGCTCATACTTGGTTCTTTGGAGCTCTGTCGCTCGTGATGTTGCAAACATAATCTATGATTGAATTATACGTTCATTTTGGGTACACTTTACGAAGTTTGCTTTAACGATTCTACAAGTTTAGAGTTAAAGTTCAAGTTAACCCAGACCAATGCCGTTCTATACATTCTTCAGTTCCCCTTGATGAAGATGCTGAGGGGTCTGGCGAGTCAGAGGGTTCAGGTAAGTTATCATCAGCTAGAAAGCAAATTCAGCATGGCTTCACATTTTACGACATGGCAGGGAAAGAAGGAGAATACAAGAAGGAGAAAACAATGTTTTACATCGATATCACTATAGAATGAAGTGAAATATAACTAAGAATTGGATAGCTATCCCTTACATGATTGATTACGATTTTTATTTGCATAATGCAAATTGTTGCTTTTCAATATAAAAAAAGCGTTTATGCCCCACATTCCAATGCTTGAGCAAGAAAGTTTGACATACCTACCAAAACACTCCAACGCAGTACCTACTTTCAATATGGTATGGATTGGTGCAGCTAGCTGTTCATGGAGTTAGCCCAATTATATCCCAGCAGCCAATCAGCAAGAAGAATAGAGGAAAGCTGCATTCCTTTTGATTCTTGCTGCGTCACTTGTTTGCATGTTTACATTATTAACTTGCATGGCTAAATAATCATTATGTGTATGTACGTTTCTCAAAGTAAAATGCAAGGAAATAATGCCGTTATATTTTTGTATACGACAGGCGACATGACGTATACACGGCGAGGTGATACGCAGTACAAGATATACACCGAGTCCAAGACCTACGACGCTGCCAAGAAGACGTGTGCTGCAGACGGCGGCCATCTTGCGGTCATCAAGACAGAGGCCGTGTACAACTTCCTTCTAGGCATGATTCGAGACGCTGACGTGAACGAAGACTACTGGATTGGGCTCAATGACAAAGCGGTAAGTGTTGCAACAAAGGGTATGTTACAGTCACACAATACCTCCTAAGTCCAGAGGAAGAAAAATGGCGATTGTATAAGCACTTCGGCAGAACGTACTGCACCTGCGCGAAAACCGTAATGTACTGTGCATAGCATGTCTCATATAAGGTCGTATTCGCGTATAAAAAAAGTAACATCCCGTCTGTAGTTTGCAAATGTTATGTCGGAAAAAGCGTCGTCTGTAACAGGCAAAATCCTGATGCAACGTTGACCAAACATCCCGCGAAAACCGTGAAAAATCCGGGTTTCGCGCAGGCGTGCTGCGATTGTACATGGCAATGCTACGCGAGTTCCCTTGATGCCTTGCATTTTTTGTACTAGCTTGCTATCTAGCTGTTCATAGAGATCGTATGAATCATAAGGTACACCCAACCAACAGTAAAATCTTTGTTGAAGTGTGGTGTTTTTAAAACATTTCAAGTCCTTCAACGCGATCGATGTCATGGTGCACAAAGCTGTTTCGTATTAATAAATCATAGAGTCGATCTTACTGACTGATGACATGCTCACTTTATGACTATGTAGGTTGAGAGCAGATGGACCTGGGCCGATGGAGAACCGCTGAATGATGGCGGTTTCACCAAATGGGCGCCAGGAGAACCCAACAACGCTGAAGGTATCCAGGACTGTGGGCAGCTATGGGCAGCTAAAGACTTCCGATGGGACGATGACAGGTGTTACTATGCGAAGTACTTCATTTGCCAAATAGGTATGGCTGCTTTTTTTTCTTCTACTAGTATTTTGTTGAAATTTCTGGAGTGAGAGACACTGTTAAGAGTTTTCAAATGTTAATTGAAATTTTACTAAATGTTATATGTTTCTCTATACAGGTCCAGGAGAGGCATATGATGAAGGTAATGTATAACTCACTTGCAAAAATGGTTGTTACATGACATAAGTTTTCACTTGATATCGTATTAGGCAAATGCAATTCCTAGAACTTTATTGAAGGTAAACTTTCTCATTCTTATTTTAAGGACTTATTTTAAGACCTATTGAAAATAATTAAAGTAACCTACCGAAAATACTTAAAGTAACCTACGTGCACCCGAAGCTTAAAATGTCTCATGCATAAAGGTTAAGTAGAATACAGTAGCTATTCAATATGAATCGTTTAATGTGAACTTTTAAACATTATTATATGATAAAGATATGCAACTTCAAAGTACAGTGTTTCACACGTCTTTTAAATGTTGCATCGTGACAAACGTTTCTTTTACAGAAGACATCATCTTCGTTGAAGAACCTGAGGAAGAACCCTTGCCTACACAAGAAGCAGGGAATGATTGTCCAGAAAACAACATAGTAGTATTACCGTCCGGTAAGTACTACTACTCCAGTGATGATGCCATGACGTACGAAGACGCGCAGACAGAATGCAGAAGGAAAGGCGGAATAGTTGCCGTCCCGAGGAACGAAGAGGAACAAAGAAACGTGGTGATGCTGAAGAATTGTGTCAGCAGGTTAGTTTTTTTTATGTTTAGCTAAGAGCATTCTCCCATTCCAGGCCCACCGTTCGTACATGTATTGTGAAACAACAACCCTGGCGTATCGGTCTGGCTTTCATGCTTCTCCCTGCGTTGCGTTGGCTAGATGTTATCAGCCAATCACGTCACTGCCTACGGTCAAGAGGCAATGTGATTGGCTAGTAACAACATGGGAGGGGGGTATCTGATTGGTTGATGGCCGCTACGAACCTTTTTCGGATCGAACGAGATACTGTCGAAATCATACGGCAAGTATAATTTCCTTGTGCAAAGAGACTATTGTTGGCCCTACATGTAGGTAGCAAATAGACCAGCAACGATGAACTGAATGTATACGTAATTTTGCATTCCAAAACACAGAGATAACCAGTTCTGGTTGGGGGTGAGATGGTCACCAGAAGGATGGGTGGACGGTAGAGGCGATGCCCTGGGGAGCTTTTCGACTTGGGCCCCCGGAGAGCCGAACGACAGATACAACGGCTACAGATGTGCGCACATTGTCTATGGTAACAAAGAGGGAGAAAGGCGAAACAACTGGGCCGATGCATACTGCAACTCACTGTTTAACTTCGTCTGTGAGGTGGAAGATCAAGAAGGTGAGGCGGTTATGTGTTTGGCTTTAGCTCCTTCTAAGCCGTTGACGTCCCTGGCAAAAATACACTACTAGTATTATTACATTATATGAACCATTATATAATGCAGTTCTAATCTGCCACGATAACTCCATTGAATAATCTTTACAAAGTCATCTCTTTACAGCCCATTCTCATTTTTTCCCTTCCTTGGCAGCTATCGGCCCTAACGTGAACGCAGCATCGTGCTCGGAGGTGAAGTCTTCTTTCCCTGCAGTCAAGGATGGCGAGTACACACTCCGCCCCTTTTCAACGTGCGAAGATGTATCCCTCCGCGTCTACTGCCACAACATGGCGTCCGAGCAGCCAGAAGAATTTCTAACCCTGCCGTCCGGGCCGGACAACAACTTCGCCAACATCTTCGCAAATCGACTGAGGGATAATTATGGAGGCCGGTGCAATGGACCACTACAGGTGAGTGATACACAAAACTTAATTAAAGGGTTGGGGTCCTGTGGTGTAGCGGCAGAGTGCGTGACTCGGAACCTAGAGGTCCAGGGTTCGAGTCCTGACATGCCACCGATCTTGTGCCCCTGGGAAAGGCACTTAACACGACTTTCCTCACTTCGTTCAGGTGAAAATGAGTATTGTCCTGACTCCTGTCATGTATTTGTCCCCTGTGTTGGTGGCGGCATTAATAAAGTTGAAAAAAACTTGAGTGTGCCGTCACCACGTCTGGTGATTACATGTTGGAATAAAAAAAAATTAAATTAAAGGGTTGATGATCTGCATCAAGGTGATAAGGTAACATAACGCCTGCTTAGTGACCGATAACCACCGAGTGAGCAAAGGTGGTTTATTCAGTGGTTAAAAGCCACTCGGCGGGCGTTATCGCACCGCAAACACTGGCGGTTCATTAACGTTGTTATAATAGAGCCAATCCATTTATATACTAATCACTGTTGTAAATGTCACAAATACAAGATATACTAAGGCTTCGTTGTCTTGCATTTCAAGGACCCATATGCCAGACGCGCCGGGACCACGAAGTTCAGCAAAATCCGAATCAAGTTTGAAAACTCCAAGGTCAAGGTCATTCGAGATGACTACACCTTTGCTAGTACTGACGGTAGGTCAGCAGTTGATTTAATACTGGAATTATGTCATTTTACCATGTTACATGACTCATGATAATACCCATGCTACAATTTGTCCCGTTTTGAAACCCTTGCCAGTCGCAAGAACTGCTTTTCTGCCCAGATCTGTCTTCTTCAACTATAACATTAAAAGCAATACTTTTTTTTAAATTTTAGGCTACAATAATGTAGCTTACGGCGAGGCAGGTGACTGTTATTCTTGGAAACAAGGATGCGCGAAAGGAACATTTAAGTTGAATCTTACTGGGACGGATCTCTCGTTGGCTTCCGACGTCCACTGGGTCATGGAGGAACGCTACCCAGAGTATATCAGCATCAACGATATGTTCATCTCAGAGGACAGAACGGTTGGTCTTTTTTTTGCTTCATCATCTTAACTGGCACGGAACATTGCATTACTTATCAACCGTTATTTAAGAACACCCATCAAGACAGCAGCTGTTGTCGTCTTAATTCATCCAAGCTATTGCCATGTGTCCTTTATGCTTTGTAAACAGGGCCAGGGCTGAACTTTCATGATGAATACTGTCTTCTCATTTACTGTACTATGTTTTAGGTTGCCTCAGCGCGTTGTGGCGGGTGGTGTGGCCATTGTTGGCCTGTTGAAAAGACCCTGCTCCTCTCCCATCCACAATGTGACGGAAACAGCCAAAACAGCAAGACCAAAGGTGGGTCGCAAACTAGATACATGTACAAGTATTTACATGCACCATAAGCAACAATATCTAAGCATTTTCCAGCTGCCTGTTATATATTAAAGCCAGTTGATCATGCGTATTTTTTGTACAAAAATACGTAAGCAATAATGTAATGTTCAATGGATACATCTTAAATCTTTTTTTAAATCGTCCATTTCTGCAGGATGCCCAATACCAGGCTACATCCCATTGAACGGAGCCTGCTACAAGAAATTTGCAGAACCAAAAACGTACGCTGAAGCTCGCGAGAGGTGTGCCGCAGACGGTGGGCTGATCGCCATGCCACGAGACAGAGCAACCAACCGATTCATCACCAATTTACATCCCGGAGTCAGCTGGCTTGGGTTGACCGACATCAACAGAGAGGGCCAGTGGGTGTTCGAGGACGGCCAAACCCTGGAGTCATCCGGCTATTCCAGCTGGGCCCACAAAGAACCGAATGATGCTGATGGGAACGAAGATTGTGCCCAATTTACGAAGACCAGGGCGTTCTGGAATGATGTACCCTGCAGCACCACCATTGGATTCACCTGTCAGATAGGACATGGTATGTGTCACCGGCAACTAGTTAAAAGGGCATTCAAAAGTCAATACTTACTTCAAAAGTAAATATCAATGTTGGTGGATGACTTGTGAGTTTTTATTTTATGTCCCAAGTAGTGACGGCTGTATGGAGGATGGGAGGTGATTTGGGCACTTAATTGATAGGGAGGGATAAGACTGAAGATGACCCAGCATTATCTGTCATGGGTGGTATGAGGAGGAATTCAGGAGGTGGTGTAATACCAAATCAAATTACATCACACAACACCATCTACAGTTACAATTCATTGGCGAGGACCCAAAACGAAAGTCTGAAATCCCCAACTTCTTGTTTACCCTTGTTAGCAAATTTTCCTCCTGTAGCAACCTTCCAAAAGTTACCTACAGCATAAACTTATTTCGCGTTCGAAAAATGCAAGAAAGTAAGTTGTAAGAGTAGGTTGACAGTACGTGGGTGGGGAAGATAACAGGCAGATTGACGGAGGCAATGTCAGGAAGTGAACGTGAAGAAAGTCAACCGGTTGACATGAGGACGTCGTTTTGTGCAATACAAAATTATCGTACTTCATGGACAAGTGTGACTGGCTGTTGGTTGATTCTAGATATTATGTTGTGATTTCAGCGATGCCAGTGGCCGATACTACAGTTTCTCCGGAGGGACATGAGTGCCAGATATCAGACGGGGCTTCGTACCGGGGAAAAGTCGCTGTGACAAAATCAGGCCGGACGTGTCAACGTTGGGACCAGCAGACACCCCATGAGCACAGCCGGACGGCTGCCAACTATCCGTCATCCGGACTGGAGGAGAATTTCTGCCGGAATCCGGACGGTACTTCCGGAGTTTGGTGCTACACCACGGATCCTAACAAGAGATGGGAACTGTGTGACGTGGCAGTATGTGGTACGTACAGCGGACATGCAACAATAGGGCAAAACTACGGTCGTTTTTTTTCATAATAGTCCATGTTTGTCTTACTATTGACAATAAAACATCAAATAATCTTAAAAATACATTCGCGATATTCATGGACTTTTGATTTTAATTACTGTCAACAGGTTCCTGTAATAGCAAAGTGTAAGTCAACCATTTTAGGCATTCGTCCCATATACAGTATTCCTTCTGAATAATTCCCTGGCAGAGACGGTCGCTAGACTTTAGGGTGTTCAGCTTCGAATAGAATCGCCAAATAAACTGGGGTTTGCCCTTGATTTCAGTCTCTGCCCTGTAAAAAGTGACGAAAGTGTTTTGAGGGTCTAATTAGGTTTGAGGTGACTGTTGTTAAAGGTTTAAGAATACAAAAATTGCTACGATCCTCATTCAAGAGCAAAAAGATCATTTTGACAGTCAATTTTTTCACTCTTGATAAAATAACGTACATTTTAGAAAATGCATTCGCGATATGCATGAATTTTCGATTTTCATCTCAATCTCCTTTGCTTTCAGGATCATTGTCTGGGAATCCTACAACCCAACAGCCTGTTTCCACGGAAGTAAAAACCACAACAGGTAAGAGATGAAAATCATGTTTCTCTTTTTTATTTCCTCTCTTGCAAATGTGACCTGACAATGAAAGACATTCATGGAAGTGCAATTATATTACATCATACAATCCCGATTGAGCTACTGCACCTGTTATGAATGTACGTAGTCCCGTATAAATTGACAAACTAATTATTACGTACGATCACCATGTTTATACGTGCAGCCTATGTGGATACATCTTAAATCTTTTTTTAAATCATCCATTTCTGCAGGATGCCCAATACCAGGCTACATCCCATTGAACGGAGCCTGCTACAAGAAATTTGCAGAACCAAAAACGTACGCTGAAGCTCGCGAGAGGTGTGCCGCAGACGGTGGGCTGATAGCCATGCCACGAGACAGAGCAACCAACCGATTCATCACCAATTTGCATCCCGGAGTCATGAGCTGGATTGGGTTGACCAACATCAACAGCGAAGGCCAGTGGGTGTTCGAGGACGGCCAAACCCTGGAGTCATCCGACTATTCCAACTGGTTCCACACGGAACCGAATGATGCTGATGGGAACGAAGATTGTGCCCAAGTGAGGGCCAGGGGGTTCTGGAATGATGTACGCTGCAGCACCACCATTGGATTCACCTGCCAGATAGGACATGGTATGTGTCATCAGCAACTAGTAAAAAGGGCATTCATAGGTCAATACTTATGGTTTCGTAAATGTTAATGTTGGTGGATGACTTGTGAGTTTTCTTGTTTTATGTGCCAAGTAGTGACGGCTGTATGGAGGATGGGAGGTGATTTGGGCAGTTAATTGATAGGGAGGGATAAGACTGAAGATGACCCAGCATTATCTGTCATGGGTGGTATGAGGAGGAATTCAGGAGGTGGTGTAATACACAATCAAATTACATCACACAACACCGTCTACAGTTACAATTCATTGACAAGTACTTAAAACGAAAGTCTGAAATCTCCTACTTCTTGTTTACCCTGGTTAGCAAATTTTCCTCTTGTAGCAACCTTCCAAAAGTTACCTACAGCATAAACTTATTTCGCGTTCGAAAAATGCAAGAAATTAAGTGTCAAGAATACCATCCAAATATTGTTCTTGAATACGGCACAGGGCAGTGAGTTAATGTGCTGTTCGAATTGTTTTTAAAGGAAAATCTGTGAAAGAATTCTACCAAGGCTGCTACAAGGATGGGGAAAGGCGGAGGCTTCCTCATGCATTTCTGGTACGCGCTGACATGACTGCAGATGTCTGTGTTCAACATTGTCGTCAAAAAGGATACACGTATGCAGGTAAGTCTAGTTTTATCAGTTGTTGTCGTCTTGAATAATAAACGTGATAATTGTTTTCTCCAATGGGTTGAAGAAAAATTATGTATGCGTGTCATCTGTAACATATTTAATAATGTATGGCCTCTACCTGACAGTGTATGCCTAACCAGGTCCTTACCACATTCGAAGGGGCAATTTCGTTGTGTATAATTGTGTAGTACACACTAGTATTCTAGCTGTCCCGTTACGGTAAAGCCTATCTAAGATTCTTGTCAGCGGTTAGTTCTGTCACACGCTGCTCCAATATAACTGAACATGTTAAATTAGACTCATACGCATCTGGCAGCTGAGTTACCATTCTCAAATCACGATTGACCTATGAAAGACGTTGGTTTGGTTGTGAGGATTTGTTGGTAGAGATTACGTTAGACAATTTCTTGTCATTTTCTTTCAAAGGAACTCAGTATTACAAGGAGTGTTGGTGCGGATCGGAGCTACCAACGCGTGGGCCACGAGAAGACAGTGAGTGTGCCACCCCTTGTGGAGGAAACCAGAAGGAAATGTGCGGAGGCGAATGGAGATTATCTGTTTACAAAGGTAGATAAATACCTTTATATATTGTTACTCTAATTTCAATTCAATTATAAAAGTAATGCTTCTATTCCTGACAACAAGCCTTATGATAACCGTGTCTCTGCCATGTAGCAATTTTCTTTTGGAACCAGTGGTTTACGGTAGATAATGAAAAAAATATTATAATTACTTTAGGACATAGAGTATTGTTTTGTGTTCCTGACCAGTGGGTTCGTGTATCTGTTTGTCCGGACAGAGTAGGTTGACAGCACGTGGGTGGGGAAGATAACAGGCAGAATGACGGAGGCAATGTCAGGAAGTGAACGTGAAGGAAGTCAACCGGTTGACACGAGGACGTCGTTTTGTGCAATACAAACTTATCATACTTCATGGACAAGTGTGTTTGACTGACTGTTGTTTGATTCTAGATGTGTTGTCATTTCAGCGATGCCAGTAGCCGATATTACCACAGTTTCTCCGGAGGAACATGAGTGCCAGATATCAGACGGGGCTTTGTACCGTGGAAACGTCGCTGTGACAAAATCAGGCCGGACGTGTCAACGTTGGGACCAGCAGACACCCCATGAGCACAGCCGGACGGCTGCCAACTATCCGTCATCCGGACTGGAGGAGAATTTCTGCCGGAATCCGGACGGTACTTCCGGAGTTTGGTGCTACACCACGGATCCTAACAAGAGATGGGAACTGTGTGACGTGGCAGTATGTGGTACGTACAGCGGACATGCAACAATAGAGCAAAACTACGGTCGTTTTTTTGGCGACGCCTCAAGGGGCGGAGCCGTTGGTATAGTACTGCGATTGAGTTTGAAAATATTCTAAGAATTCCACCAATGTCATTACCCTAATGGAATTGCTTTTTGGCGATACCTTGCGGGACCTATTCCCCAAGCAGGGGTTCAAGGGGAAGATCGTTAGCTTTCTATATATGTCCCGTTTCTGGTCGCTATGCCCACCAAACGGGGCATATATAGAAAGGTAACGACAATCCCCACCAACCTCTGCTTGGAGAGTAGTGGGACCAACCTTTGAACATAGGCTTGGGGCATGAGGCATGTGGCAGTCTGTACGTTTTTTTTTACGATACACGTATTTCAAAAAAAGTACTCTAGATTTAATGACGAATGTCTCAGTTGTTTGTCGATACAGGCTTCTGCTACGTCAGCCAAAGCTTTCTCTTATATTGGGCATGGTAAACGTTCAAGTCAGGTTGATTGCTGGTCATTTTTATAAATTAACTGTGATTATAGTGATTTTTGTTTATCTATTGATGGATTTTATTCATTTGTGTAAATGTTTGTGTCAGTCTTGCTTTCTGTTCTTCTTTTTTCTGCTTTCACGCCGCTGCTGCATTCAATGCTTGTTTATTTGTGCGCGTGAAAAACTTGCATGTACACCCCAATATCCTTTCACAACTTCTTGGATTCCTGCTGTAGTCTGCATATCAGGATGGACTGGGCGAAGTTTACCTGTGGAACAGCAAGAAAGAACAGAGCATAAATCAATCTATACCAACTTTTCCCTAGCTATGCTCTTAAATTAACAAGATTTGGCGTCATATTTTACACATAAATATAAATATAAAAAGCATGTGAGTCAATAAATTTTACAGAATGCAATGATGCGCACATGAAACTAAACAAAGGTTGAAAGTCACATGTATGTTCATTCATCCAGAAAGATGTTACAATGACACATGAACTAAATGTTCCCCAGATCAGCAGAAACGGCATATATATTGTGTTGACTCACCGCTGTTTGACCCTTCTGTAAACGGTACTGTTAGTCCATCTTGTCAGTGAATGTCTTCTGTAGGTTGAGGGACACCCACTGCGGGCACACAGAGAAAAAGAGTATGAATAAATTAAAGCCATTTCTGCCTTTCAAGAGACTCAAGAGGAACACCAATTGGAATATCTGCCGGTAGATATTCTGATCGGAGTCTCAGCTGTTACAGTCACTACATTCTACTGTACAGCATTACATGGTATTAAGTTTTATGACAATCACTATTTAAGTGATATCGGCAGCTACCAGTAATTTCATTGAATGTCCAGCACTTAGAATATGTTATCAAGTTATAGTAATAGACCTCTTCCAGATTGGAGTCTCTACCCAGCCCGATGTACTGTTGTAGAGAATTTAAACTGCGAAAAGGCTGCAGGATTCAGGGTCTGATCCAGGATGGAAAAATACTGGCACGTTGTTACCGAATTATGTATTAAATCTGGACAGGTAAGTCGTATCAGAGGAGAGAGTATATGACTTGTAGGTAAGGGCGGAAAATCATGGAGGAACATGTAAGGTGGTTAAAACGTTACGTTAACAATTCCGACGCCCTCTTACGTGATGAAACAGGTGTTTGTCCTTCTCACCAACTATTCCTTCTGTAGCCCGGGGACGTTCACGGGCATGCATGGCGTAGCTCACATGCGAAAGAAAAAGACATGAACTAGAGAGGCCGACATTTGCTTGGGAGCAAATACAGCATATTTCAGTCCATCTCCCTCCCACGCAAAAGTGGACTATTCCAAACTTACCCCAGTGTAAAACTGGCAAAGATTTTCAAATAAATGAATTATAATAGTAGCTATGTAATTGAGAACAAAGATGCAAGCGCAAGCACATTGAATCTCGAAAGCTTTACTAGTCTTATTACAGGTATGCAAATACTAACAATGATGAGATTTGATACATTTTGAAGGTCTTAGGCACATAAAATTGAACGTGTGTGGGTCATTCCGCACGACTTACGTGCAATGTGACCTCACGCGTTCCATGGCCAACGGCAGATGGAACAGGCCATTCTTTAGATAGAACATGGAACAGGTACAGCACTTTTGGCCCTTTTTTTTACTGAAAATAGCCATTTAAGTCCCCCAAATGAGTCATTTGGAAGTGGTGTATGCCAAATATGTGACTGCTATTCTGTAGATACATGTTCAAGGTACCCTCATACCGAATTTCAGATCAATTTGGTTGTAAAACCAGGGCTCAGGATCCAAAAATCCATTTTTTTGGCGAAAAAATGCCCCAAAAAACCTTCATAAAAATTTTCCAAAGGCATGTATCAAAAAAATGAAAAAAAAAA